AAGTGTATTTTTTATTTTTTTATGAAAAGATGTGTAGAAAAATAGAGAGATGATGTGATGAAAAAAAGATAAAAAGATAAAAAGTATGTACTTATTTAAAATAGTCATGGCCTAAATTATTCTCTCACATAAGATTTGAATGTTAGTGTGGGCCCTATACTTTCAAATAGAAGAGAGAGTAAAGTGTGTAGAATTGTGTCTCAATATTTTACTCTATACATCTCACCACTTAAGTAGTAGATGTTTTTGGTGACAGGAAATAAATTTTAGATGACATCCTTTGGTACCGAATTAATCCTTTGGAAATGGAGTTTTGGACTCCAAATTGAATTGACCATCCTTTGGAAATGAATAATTCAACTTTAATATATTCAAATTAATAAATCTATTTTGTAATATATTTTGAATATATTTGTTATGATATTTTGAAAATATTTTTGAAAATATTTTTACTATATTTTTTAATAATTAAATTTTGTCATATATGTTTAATAAAATTTTTACACTCTTTACTTTTTAAATCTAAATTTGTAATATATATTTTAAAATATTTTTAATATCTTTCTAATATATTTTTAATATATTTGTTAATAAACCCAATTTTCTTATATATTTGTACTATAAGTTTTATATATTTTGTAATTTGTTGTTAATATATATAGATAATATATCTACCTTCCTTCCCAATAGTTTGAAATATATTTTTTATCTAATTAATATATTGTTCACAAATGAGAATTGAGCAATTCGTATTGAGTAAAAAATATATTCAAATTAATAAATCTATTTTGTAATATATTTTGAATATATTTGTTATGATATTTTGAAAATATTTTTCAATATATTTTTAATATAGTTTTTCATAATTAAATTTTGTCATATATGTTTAATAAAATTTTGACAGTCTTTACTTTTTAAATCTAAATTTGTAATATATATTTTACAATTTTTTTAATATCTTGCTAATATATTTTTAATATATTTCTTAATAAACCCAATTTTGTAATATATTTGTACTATAAGTTTTATATATTTTGTAATTTGTTGTTAATATATATAGATAATATATCTACCTTCCTTCCCAAATTTAGTTTGAAATATATTTTTTATGTAATTAATATATTTTTTACAAATGAGAATTGAGCATTTCTAAATTAGCAAAAATTCAAGCATCAACATTGACTATAAAAAAAAAATATAACAAAAATTTTCATGTTTTCCTTCATTTTGTAAATTAGCCACAGTTTGTGATCAAAAGATCTGAAAATTTTCATTTGACCTAATTATAATAACAAAATGTGTGAACCCAAGCACAAAATCAAACAATCTGCAAAAAATCAGATAAGAATCTAAACCCAAATGGATTGTGATGTGAACAAAATGTGTGAACCCAACCACCAAATTTTCCATTTTTAATTGTGATCTGAGAAAAGTAGATTACAACTGATAATTAGAAGAACAAAATCAAAAGAAGAACATAGTCATTTACAGATCTGAACCTATATATACATAGTCTAGCCCTCATTACTCACAGATTTACAGATTTATATGTAAGAACAGATGTATGTGTGTATATATATTATTTTATATTTTTTTATTTTTTTTGGAATAAATATATGTATATATATATATATATATCTGTCACAACAATGTGTGAACATGAACAGATCAATCTTTCGAACAAGGGACTCCACAGATCTACGAAATCAGAGAGAAAGGGACTCCACACATGAACTGTAAGCATACGCCACACACACTCACACAGATCTACGAAATTAGATGGGTTTGAAAGAGATACGTCAAGATCGGTGGTGTTTGAGAGGGTTCGCGAGTCGTCTTCGCCGCCGCAGATAGCTACTTCGGCCCGATCGCCTGTAAGAAGCTGGAACCAGATGTTGTCGCCGTCGCTGGTTCAAGCAAATCGCCTCATTTTTTTTGAAATGCCCTAGGACGATTATGTTCTTTGTTTACCTTTGGCGTTAGGCGAAATGAATGAGAGGAATAGCCAGGGTATATCCGTAAATCTGCCCGAAAAAAGGGTTGTCTCCAACCCGTGTAAGGAGGCTTTGTCGTGATGTGGCTAATTTAGCCACAATTTGCCTTCCCAAACACCACCGTAATAGGTTATACCATCGTTTGGCATAAATTAAATGGAGTTTTTTTTTATTAAAATAATTATAAAAAGATAAAATAAAATTTATAATCTAATAAGATAAAATGTTATATTTAAATTATAATTTTTTTTATTATAAAAGTTTAAAATAAAAAATTTATTCCAAATAAAAATTTTTAACCCTAAATTAAAATAATTAAAAAATCAACTCACATTCCAAACGGAACTTTAACATTTTCCAATCTATTTATATCACTTTTTTATCATTTTATCCACTACTCTTTCATATTGCACAATTTTATTTATTTATTTATAAAAAGTCAAAATGTTTAGATCATCATAAATAACTCATGAAAAATAGGTTGATTTGCGCAGATCAACCGATATGACGTAGTTTCGTAAGATCACGAAATCTTAAACTGTGTTTGGTTTAATTTTCTAAAACTAATTTCACCATTACATTTTAATGTTATGTTTGATTTAAGTTTTCCAATCATGATTCCAAATCAATTTCAAAATATATTTTGAAAACATGTTTGGTAAACTAGATAGTTTTTAAATTTTTTGTCTGCCTGGGCCTCTGCTTGGACATCCTCTCGAATATCTGGCCGGTGGTTTGAAACAGTACTTTTTTTTGCAATTACTAATCACCACCTGTTATTTGGAAGAAAAAAAATTATAAAAGTATTTGTTTTTGATATTTTTCAAATATAAAAATTATTTTTTAGACCAAAATGACAAATTTTTTTTTTGAATTGAATTTTAAAAAGAGTTTAATTATGAGTTTTGAATAGAATTTTGAATAGAGTTTTGAATTGTGTGTATGGTTATGAGTTATAAGTTTTTCAATTAAATTGTGAAAACTCTTTTCAAAATTTATAACCAAACAATTTTTTTTCTTTTCAAATTATAATTTTAAAACTCACAAATTCAAAATACAACTCTATTATTAAATCATAATTCTAAACTTTACCAAACGCTGCCATATGTTTTACTGTTGGGCCGGCATAATCTGGGCTAGAAAATACAGAAAGGCCCATGCATAAACCGACCTAGTTTGATATTGGACTTAAAATTTTTGTCCAAGCCCGATTTTAAAATAATGGCGTATTCTTAAATGAATAATGCTTGAGAGCTCGAAAATGAGCTCCCCTAATCCTCCTAATGCCCAAAACGACGTCGTTTTGGGCATTAGGCTTTTTTTTTTTTTTTTTTTTTTTTTCCTTTTTTTTTCACCTTTGATCTGGGTTTCGGCTAGGCCTATTAGGATTATACGCTTGAGTTTTGAATTTGTCAAGGGTAAGGCAAATGAATTTACATGTATGTTTTTATTTATTTTTAGTAATTAAACAAAAAATGATTTTTATAGATTATCATTTTTCTATCTTCTCATTTTCCTGATCAAACCAAATAATAATAATAATAATAATTTCTTTTCTTTTCTTATCATTTCCTGTTCCTTTCATTTTTCATTGGATCCAAACACGATATAGTCTGGCAAAAGATTGGTTCATAGAAGTGATATCCAACAGAGAGTTTGTGAAGTTAATTGTGGGAAAGTGCTGACATAGAGCAATGGTATCTCATATTCTTATTACAACCTTCTAGAGTTGACATTTTGGGTTTCTCTTCACATTTTCCCTCCCGAAGAAAGTCTCTTACTATCATCTATCCGCTAATTTGAAAACAAATTATAAAAGTGAATCTAATCAAATCTAAAACACGAAGAAAAAAAAAAAAATTTAAAAATAAAAAATTATATGAGACTTTAAATGGTGAAATAAATATTTATTTCGTCGTTAACAAAGAGCATTTTTGTCCTCGGAAGTCATTTTCATTTCATTCTAAATAGGAATCCTTCTGTTACTTAGATCAAGCAAATCTTGTAAAACAGCTAAATTGGAATCCTTCCGTCACTTGGATCAAGTAAAAACTGTAGTCTCATTTACAATTTTTCATTGCCTAAGATTAGATTTACCTAACACACGTCATGCTTACTACAAAAAAGTAAAATTCCAGGATGAATTGGGGCTTAAACATGGCTTTGAGTGACTTAACAGAAAATGACAACAAATCAAATTCAGAGTTAGAATAGGCCATTCACAGGTTCCATAAGCAACTTCATGAGATACTAAACTTTTTCAATAATAAATTTACAACAGAGATCCCACAATTATGCCCTTCTTCTAAACAATATTAACAATCATAATGACATACCTGGGAATCAATCGGTGTGGGGTTGAGCATCATCATCATCAAACCACAGATTTGGAATTCACTGTTACTTGACTCCACTTGCTCGTCTCCAAAATGCACCCCGTGTTCACCTCACCTGCAACCCACAACTACAAAACACGGGTGCTCAGTAGAGCACATGATGTGCACCCACTGGTTGCAAAGGTCAGAATAAGTGTACTGGGAAGAGTTGAACAAAACTCAGCAATAAATCTTCAAAACAATGACAGGATCTTATTATAAAACAATTTGAACTAGTATTTGTTTGTAAAGGACACATGTGAATGCCGGCAAACACTTACACTTGATTCTATGAAAAGTGAAGAGTACAACTAACAGACCCAAGCGCACAGAATAAATCAAACACAGGTTCCAAAAGCCAACCTTGGAAGAGCAATGATATCATTATCAGACTAAAAAATAGATAATAAATTGATGTCCCTAACAAACTGACCTTTACAGGTTAAGACAGTTGAGATGCTTCAGAAAACAAAGTTGAGTTTCAATGTTCATCATTATAAAAATCAAACATCACAGCTCACAGAACAAGTGCTTCTACCATAAAGTGAAAGAAAGTAGTCAACATGCAGAAGAGCGAATGGATTGTAAACCAGATAAATGCATCAGAATCTTAATTTAGCCCACCACGTCGCAAACTTTCAAGATTATTTTGTCTATTTCCATCAAATACAACAAATACAAAGCTGCTGCAATATTACAAAGCATCTAGAAATTTTTTTAAACCAAAAAAAACGGATTTGGAACCATTCATTGCCCTATCAATTGTTGCATTGAAGTTACAAAACTATTATACAAGATGGCAAAGAGCGAATTTGCCATCGAGGGCCTTCTTCAAGAGGGCCCTCTCTACACACACTACCTGCCTATATCCCCCTTACCTCTCCATGATTCCTCCTCTCTGATAATGCTCGCTGTCTGCCCATTGTATTGTTCAGTTTTTGCATAATGCATTTTGATAGCGGCCACAGGGTCTGAAATGCCATTGCGCGCTCCCCCAACAAGAATCCCTCCTCTCCCCACAACATTGATACCAACCATCCCCCTAGCCTGTTGTTGTATACTTGAGACAGCCTCGATCCCATTCCGTCTTTGCATCTCAGAGAATAACATGTCTGGCCGCTGCTGCTTCATATCAACTGCAAATGGCTGCACCCTAGTAGTACCCTCTCGATTCCTGTACAACTGATATTCTGCCACTCCATTGCTGCTACTCATATCCCTACTAGAGAAAACCGATACACCATTTAAATTACACTCATTACTACTCTTTACAACTGAATGCAATGGCTGCTGCTCTGCATTGGACAACGTAGAGTATCTACCAAATGCAGCAGGATATTTTGCCAGAAGGATGGCAGAGTCGGGAAATGTAGAAAATCCAGTCTGTATTCTATTTCCATCCCAAAAACCGTAACTCCTCACAGGAACATTCTCAAGATCCAGATAATTATTCCGGTCAAACTTTGATGAAGTTGAATTTGCATCTAGACTGTGAGTTCCAGTGAATTTAAGGTTGGAATTCTTGCTGCTGAACTTAGGATGTTGAACCCCCTTATCTTCATTCTCCTGGATATCACTAGTAGTATTCTGTTTCTGCTGAGATGACGGGTGAGTCAAAATCTGACCAAACAGTTTCACATCACCATTTCTGCATGGTTTTTCTGTATCTGATGAACTCAATGAATGAGGCCTAGAATGATTGCTTTTCTGGTCTTGGGACAGGAATGGAAGCTCAGCCACTGAGCTCCGAGCTTTTGAACTTTTACATTTTTGAAGAAAATACAAATCAGAATGAAAATTCCCTTCAGCCTTTGAGAGACATTGAAGTGAAGCCAGTTTCCTGGAAGTGATATCCCCATTCATCTCTTTCTTGGCTGACACTGCTAATGGATATCCCCTGAGAATTTGACCGGATTCGGCACACCCCAACACAGAATTGATGGACTGATGCTGGTTATAATCATCCGCACTGGTTGATTTTTGACACTGCTGATCTCTGATTGTTTCTAAAGCTAATGTCAATGGTGTATCCTGTTTGAGAGTCTTCTCATACTGACTAGCAGCAGGACCTTCGGTTGAATTTGCATTTACAAGAGAAACATCCTGCTCCAGTGAGATGACAGAAGGCACTTGTGGAGCACTCAACTCCAGGGCAATCTTCTGCTCCTCTTTGGGGCCAACACCAATTTCCAGAGGAGCATTTGCATCTGGCACATGATCAGAAGAGGTTCCATCTGTATGTAAGACTTCGTTAGAGCAATTTATGTTACTTGGGCCACTTGCATTTGCATCCTTGTTTTCATCTTGCTTGTTCTCTGACACCATTTGTTGCACCTCCACTTCTGTTGTAAAACACACAGTAGAACTCTGACTTACAGCTATAGTCTCACCTTCAGCACCTGATACAGGCAGGCCATGATCATTAGCCTCTTTGGCAGATACTGGTTCTCCCAAACAAGCACCATCTCCAGCAGCTTCATCTCCTTCAACTTCGGTATCAGGAGGCAAAATAGCATTTTCATGGGTCTGCACTATCACAGGCATGCCATCAACATCATCTTCCATCTTACTGTCGCCATCAAAATCTACTTCTGGTTTACTGTCTGCCAACAAGTCATCAGTAACCAAATGCTCTACTTGAAGTTCGGGGTCTTTACAATCAAATTGTCCTGTCTCATTGTTCTCCTCTGACCTATTCGGGTCATTCTGCAAGTCCATGGTCTCTGCAGGATCAGGTTCACAATGGTTTATGTTCAAATCAGAGAGTATCAAGTCCTCGTCCATTTTAGACACTGATTTCTCACTGCATACAACCGAACCAGTAACACAAGCATCTTCATTGTCACTCCCACCGCCAGTAGCATCATCACTTATCGGCATCCCCTCATCACCAGGCACGTGATGAATCATATCAAGTCCAAGGCACTTCCGGGCCTTGCTAAAGAAGACCTTGCATTGATCTCTGGACCTTGTTCTTACACACCTTGAAATCTTCATGAAATCTTTACCATAAGATGACACGGCCTGCATAAAAATAGACTTCTCCTCATCCGTCCAGTCAGTAGGATCCATCTCCCCACAACTCTCATCCGAACAGGACTCATCATCAACATTCTGAGTAACCTCAGGTGTCAAAGGTCGTTTTGACAAAGAACCCACCTTCTGGCACTTCCAGTTCTGGCAGCTCTCTCCAGGGTCAAAAGAACTAGTGATGCAAGAACTCATTGCTTCCGATGATAGCGAAGCACCAATACCTGCCAAGACATCAGCAGCCACAGTTTCCCTTTCATTACCAAAAATTTCAAGACCACCTGACCTCTCCATGATGCCTTCATCACCTTGGGATGCTCTATAATCACCAGTCACCCCCATTAAGAACCTTGCTGTAGCTTTTTGTTGATTTTGCATACCATTATCAGCATTAGCAGCAATTGCTGAAGCCACACCCAACATATCAAGGGATGCCGCATTTGCCATGCGATTCCATCGCTTTCCTGACGTTACCAGGTAGTTACTAGTGGAACAGGACTTTCCTAGCTTAGCAAACTCTGGCTTCTTCTTTGTTTTCGCAAAACAATCTGACTTATGGTTTTTGTAGTAGAACTCAACACAATCTGCAGTTGTCTTGTGATCAAGAAAAGAAGCAATCGTTCTGAAGTCCTTCCCTGAAGTGGCAAGCTTATCCAAGAAAGTTTCCTTCTCTTCTGTTGTCCAGGGGTTGATCATAGCTCTTTCCTTTTCAATTGCACAGGGATCTTCAATTAATCCATTACTTGAAATAAACCTAGAACAGATACTCTCCTTGTCCAAGATCAACGCTGGCATTTTAAGAGAATTCCGGTAAATCTTGAACTGCGAATCTGAAAGCAGCTTCCTCGTAAAATTAATGCTCTCTTTTGTAGGGGCCAGGGTTGGGGTTGAAATCCCAGCTGCAAAGACAACAATCAAAATAACAATCAAAACCGGAAAAGAAAGCTCATAGACTCGGAACAAAGTCATCACGGAAACTTAACTCCATATCATATCAAAATCTTAGGATAATCTTTATGAATATCCAAGATGCTGTCAGAAATGGTCTCATGAATAAATATATATTACACATGTATAACCAAAATCTAAATAAGAATAAAATAACATCAAACATCAATAAAGACAAACAGAAGTAAATATTTAGCAAAATCAATTAGCAGCAATCAAGTAACTATATTTCATCAGATGAAGAAGCATCCACAGAAGCTGAGCCATACCATGTTTCCCTGAACATCCCTCCGCTAACCTAAAATTTCTTCAGTTTTTCAAAACTTCGATTAATCTTAGATATAAATGCCATTCTCTTACAAGGGGGTGGCGGCATACACCTTCAAAGAAGTAAGGGAATTACTCGAATACCAATTTTCAGGAAACGAATGTAGGACTTCTGTTGTATAAGAATAATAGTAAGTTTCACTTAAACTCAGCTGAAGATCCATAATCAGAATGACATGAAATGTATACCCAGGTCTCTTCAGAAAATGCATCACAACAAACTAATGTTATTCCCGGACCTTGTTCCTTGAAAAAGCATAAACCCTCCACATGTCACAGGATGCAGAGAGTATTCAACAATGAAAAACAAACACTTCTAAAAGTAAATATTTGGGTTCTCATAAAAAATCATCTGCTTAGCCAAAGTTCGAACATAATGAAAAGGCACTGAAAAATGGGCAGGAGTAGTGCTTTGAACAAACTTGCTCAATACGTAGTCCAAAGCATGGCAAATCATCCTTATCTCCAAAGAATCATGAGAAATGCTGAAACCATTAACTTTAAGGTTATTAGCACTGGAGCACAACCATCTCTCTCAATGATACAGAACATAAACTCGGATCGCATAAGTTCATAATATGGCCAATAATCAAACCATATCCATTTCACATAAGCAGCAACAGAATACTCTGAAGACAAGTTCAAAATAAGGATCTTCAGCCTGCAAGGAAATTCAGATACTGAACATGATATACTTTCAGTAGCACAAGCAGTCCATTCCTGATCCCACTGAAATCAGAAATTTGATACTACGATTCTGAAGCTTCTCTGCCTAAAACAAGCTCTATCAGAAAAAGTGAACGTGTGGAAATATACGAGACTTTTATGCAGGCCTTTCAACTGTTAAAATACTAAAACTTGTAATTTGAATATTTTTATTCAATTCAGTCCCTTTACAATGCAAATAAATAGATCAAATATCGTATTGTAGAAATCTTAAACAATCTACTGAACAGAGCTTGATAATTTAAATCTTTTAACTTTTTCACCTTTACTCCAAAATAAGATTCCCTTTAAGGTTAAAAATGTTGTTGTTCACCCCTTCCCCTTTTCATTAGTAAAGATCTTTATGACTGGTGAAAGAATTATATGATTATCTCTTTAAATTTAATAATAATAATAAATAAATAAAAGACCGCTAAGAGAACATGCATAATGTTCCCCATTAGATCATTGGGTTTACAAAAAAAATGTTGTTGAGGGTGGTAACTTCAGAATGCATTCAAGAATGTCGTCAATGTGATGATATAGTGGAGTAGTGTAATTTGGATGTAACAACACTTAACAGACAAAAAAGTTTCCACCAAATTCACAAGTCTAGGTTAACTATTTCATTCCTCACTCCCCCTTGAGGCCACCCCCAAAGCTTAGGCACAGTAATTACCCGGTATAATATGTAGGATAAGGGTATTAAATGTACCCAGCAGATTAGTCGAGCGAAGCACTGGACAACCTCGTGAGCAAAATGGTTTACAAGTCCAAGGACTCTAGTACAGCATTTTAAAGTGGAATTGGTAAAGAAGAATCAAAATGAGAATATATTTTCCCTCAAACAAAATTGGGAAGTTTTACAAAAGGTAAGGGTACCAATGAAAGAATGCATGTCAACTGTAATAGATGTGATTGTATATAGAAGTGGTGCTAGGATGGTGTGTGTGTGTGTGTGTGTGTGAGAGAGAGAGAGAGAACAATATGATGGCAATTAAGTGGATTGTTTTCTACTAATCAGAAAAACAAAAGGACAAAAAACAAATTGCTTTAAGGTCAACATGCTGTGCTAAATCTGAATAAGAAAAAGAAACTCTGGATGTGCATGCTAAAAAAAGAATAAAATAAAAATAAAATTTGGAAGTTTAAACAGAAACTTCCAAATAAATAATAAAAGTTATAAGGCCGTTGTCATGCAAGACACAGAACCACTGCACCTAAAGGATAGTATTGAACTCGCAAAACAAGGAACCACCAAAAAAAGAGGCAAAATTGAGCATGAAAAACTAGGCCTCGTTTGGGATCAGGCTTTTTTAACTTTTTGACTTTTTGGCTAAAATATTATATAAAAAAAAACTAGTATGTTTAGGATGACTTTTTAATTTTTATGAAAAGATGTGCAAAAAGTAGAGAGAAAATAGAATCTTTGACTTTTTGGTATAGGTTGTTGGTTTTTTGATTTTTTTAGTGACTTTTTTACTTTTAGGCTAAAAATGATGTTGCCAAATGAGACCAAATAGAAAAAACAAATAAAAAGTTAATCTAGTTTCCAAAACTCCACCATCCTAATGTATTAAACAAGATTTGTATGAATATCACATGCACCAATGTCATATCATATCAACACAATTGTCCTAAAGGTTGAGAAAACCAAGAAACACAAACCCCCATTCTGCTCAACCTACAATTATTTTACTCAAAAAATACAGGTTCATCATCAATGCACAAGAAGACCAAAGTATCCTGTTTTATTTTGTAAAACATGACAGGTAACCAAGTAACAATTTTCCTTGGGCCTATGTTAATCAAAGATGAATTTATACTCTGTATTTGGATTAACTAACAACATACAGCTTGCCTAAGTACAGAACTCAATGTGCAGATTATGTGCGAGTGTCTGCAGGTATGCAGGACATTCAAATGTTACCCTCCAAGAAAGTATTGACGTACCACATTTCACACAAAAGGGAGAGGTGATCAAAGATAAAAAGAATGAAAGAAAAAATACTAATAAAACAGATTACAATGAACCCCACACCCAAAGTATACCTAAATATAGTAGATAAAGGCCTCACAATCCAAATTCCAAGCAGAAAGAACTCAAATGAAGGGAAATAATTAAACTTGGAGATGATTAATCCCAATAATAACAAGAAATAAGTTGTGTTTGTGTTTCATAACCATGATAGGTTAAGAAGTTGCCAAAAAACAACTACTAGCACAAAGAAATTAAGAAAGAATTATTCTTACCAGGAGAAGAAAAACGAGAACGAATGGAGGACCGGTGCTTCTGATAGCTTCCATGTGGTGTACGCAAGCTTAGTTCTGACCTTTTCTGAGATTTTGCATGATTTTTTCTTATAGAAATCAATCGCATATCTTCCTTCCAAATGTGCTGAAACGCCCTGAACTTGAGAGTAATAACTCTCTCCTTAAATCTTGAAAAACGCTTCCTCATTGCAAACTTTTCCTTGATCAGTGGATCATTCGGCCAAATAGAGGATCTGCATGTTTTCGAAATATCGATATGGCATTCATCAGATGGCAATAGCTTATTAAATACTTCAGAAGCTCTATTTGCTGATTCTTTGTTGGAAGCCAGTATTAGATCATATAATGTGTCTTCCCTGTCACAATGGAAATTCACATCAACGGAAGCAACACAACTCTTGTTTGCTATCAGCTCATCCCCACCCTCAGAAGTGGATAAACCTTCTGTCATTTCCTCACTGGAATCGTGCACAGAACATTTTGCCTCCATGTTTCTGGATTCACTTGCATCCAAATCACCAGACCTCTTGGCATGCTTCACCAGATCAGTCAGGGCGGCACCTTTTGCTGAAGAATGAAGTTCAACAAATCTAGAAGTTACAGTGCCTGGACTATCAACATCCTCATCTCTAACGTCAGCATGTTCTTTTTCCAAGCTACCAACTGCCTTCTCCACAATCATGTCTCCAGAAGAAACAAGTTGCAAGGGAGAAGGCCGAGGAATTAAATTGGAGACAACAACTAGCTCTTCACAAGGTTTTTCTTGACATTCCCCATGCAAAGAACGGGATGCCACTGGACAAGAACTATTTCCAGACTCAGATATCAACAACTTCAATTCATTTTCAAGTGAATCAATCTCCGATTCAGTCATCTCCAACGCCTTCAAAACATCACCCTTCCATACCAGCAACTTACTAATAGCAGTGGACCTCAAAAAGCTAGAATCAACAGAACCTGGATCATCAGATTGAAGCAATTCACTAAGTGAAGTGCTTAAATTAGCAATTGGAGTGAGCTCCAAGGTCTCTAAATTAAAATCCCTCCCCTCCTCAAGATGATTCTGAGAGTGGAGACTTGGTGAACCACTTAAATTACAAGTATCATTATCAATATTTGCTGCCTTTACAAATGGTTTGTCCTCCACACCTGTTACAAGAAGGCAAAAAATTAAAAATTAGATGCTCAATAAATAAATAATTTGGAAAAACATGATACAACGGATGTACATTATTTAGAAATACAAATAATTACAAATAGAGGAAAGAGAAGTAGAGATTTTGAGCCAAATTAGGAACAAGGAAAGCAATTTACATTTTAAAACGAACATTCTAAAACGTGGTACACTTTCGTTCCAAAATAATAAATTTAGCAATCTAAAGCGATCCCATATTTTTTTCTATGTTCTACATTAACGCTCTGCTTGTTTTTCCGTAAAATATTTCACCCAAAAATAATTTTCATGCAAATTGATTTTACACAATTTTTTTTTTTGTTTTTTTGTTTTGGACCCTCAAGACAAAAACTTAAACTTTTGATTGTTTGTGTTGGACAGAAAGCCATTGAAGAGCCACCCTTTCACCTTTTGAAAGATCAATGTCCTAAAAGGGTTGCAGGAACTGAACTTCCTAAAAATTGACTTAGGAATTTTTAATGGTAAGTCATTTTGGGGACTATGAAGAAAAATATTTTCGTTAAACATGTTTTATTTACTTTTTGTTCAACCAAACCAAACAACAAAAAATGCATAAAATATTTTCGAGGAAAACATTTTACATTGAAACAAATGGAGTCTAAAAGTTCTTAATAAAGAAAAAAATCAGATATAAAAACATCCAATTATTAGTACACATTAATCTGTGTTTGGGAGGAGAAATACTGGGTACACACAACCTTTGACATAGTGCACAAAGTGGTTACCCTGCGACTTGAACTCATAACCTCAAGGTTGTTCAGATATAATGAACAAAAATTTAGATGAGATGGAGTTTTGGATTGACAAAATGTATCACATTGGGTCATAATGCTCATAGAACTAAGTCGTTGAACAATTAATTGAAGAAAAATACACTATCATATTGGATGTCAAATTAAAAAATCTATCTCTATTGTACCACATTTTAGAGCATGTGGCATAAGATTTAAAATAACGGTGGTAGCCACAACAACGGTAATAGTGGCAATGACAGTTGTGGCATGTAACAGCCATATTGTAACACACATGTTTTTATTTGAGAATCACATTTAGTAAGGTTAATATTTGTTTCGTTTGATTTTGTTTAGTTTTTAGACAATTTAATATATGTACTAATTTTTACACAAGTTTTACAACGCCAGTGAGATTTTTATTTTTATTATGTATTTAACTTTCTTTATTTTATTGATTGTATAGGTGAATAGTGTTTCCATTGTTATGAAGAAAAATGTGAGATTTTTATTATGTATTTAATTTTCTATATTTTATTGATTGTACAGGTGAATAGTGTTTCCATTGTTATGAACAAAAACAAATGCAGCATGTATGATATCAATAGCCATCAGGTCACAAACATAAAGTTGTAGTATCATACGTAAACAAGATATCGAAGCATAGTAATATAAAAGTATATACATGATATCAAAGCATAGTTCAATAAATCAAACTTAAAACCAAATAGATCAAACAAGTAATCAACCAACAAAATGAAACACTTCAAATAGATTTAACAATGATTACAACTTTCATCGTGTAGAATTTGAAGAAGCACATATATCTAAAAATTTTACAACATTTGTATGTAGCTTTTGTCAAACTTTAGACATTGAGAGAGAGAGAGAGAGAGAGAACTTATATGCAGAATCTGCTGAAAATAGAGGCATAACCATGTCATAACAGTGCCGCAACAAATGTTACATAACCATAGTGGCTGTTACAGCTCTGGTTTTCAATCACACCATTATACCAGTTGTAACAGGCAGCGATAACCACCCACACAGTCACGTAACGGTTGCAGCCCATTCTTAAAACCATGAATCCTGTTCCTGTTCCTCTTACCAAACCTACCATACTATAGGTAACATAGCTATTAACTATATCCTGACCAGCTACTTATTGAAGGTATCAGATCAAGTTCCTATTCTCCAGGTAAAAGTGTCTCGGATAAATTACATTGATAATCTCTATATTTTTGCCCGTGTCATTTTGGTCCCTGTAATTTCAATGGACTTGATTTTGATCATGAATTTATGATTGTCTCAATTTGATCCAACTGAATTACAATTAGTATTTTTGATAAAAAAATGTGTACATAAGTGGTATGCGTTATGCTTTTACAAGCAAAATTATAAACTTGATCAACTCAGTTAATCTCAACCAACTCAGTGACCATTTTCTTTCAAAAACCTTAATCAATGTTATCAAATAGACTAAATTGACACATTCTAAATTTAAGACTCAAAATCGAGCTAATTGAAAGTACAAGAACCAAAATGACAGAAGAGGTACAATATAAAAAGAATCCGAACCAAATCTAAATCCACCACAATGTTAGAAAAAAAGAGTCCAATGGGAAGCTAGAGGATCAGCTTGGTTCATCTATTACAACTAGGGGTGGACAAACCTAAGCCAAGCCAGGCTTGCACTATATAGTACGAGAATGTGTTATCCTAAGCCTGGCCCAACTTGACATCAGGCCTAATCTAGCAATCCCAAGCCCGGCCCCAAAAACAATTTAAATCCCAAGCCCACCCCACTTAACCCAATAAACATGTATTTTTTTTATTTTTTATTTTAATGGAAGTTAAATTATTTAAATTCTTTTATTTATTATTTAAATTTAGAACATTAAAAAAATTCAATCGTAAAACAAATATAATTTTGAACAAATGTTTTAATTTAAGCCTTAGAAAAAAAAAAGTATATATATACTTTTTGTGCCTTATATTTTGTATACTTTATTTCATACCTAAAATAATATAAAATTATAATTAATATTGCATAAAAATGGACAGACCAGGCTGGGCTAGAACTCTTTATCCCAAGCCCAGTCCGAATATTAATGGGCACAAAACCTCAGCCCAGCCGGACCCTTTTGGCAAAATAAAATTTCAAACCCTATAAATATCAGGCTGGGCTAGGTGGGTAGTTGGGCCGATGCCCACCCTAGTTATAGCTAACTTCAAGCACTTTTTCAAAGCAAATACCAAACCTTAATGAACTTACACAAAAGACAGACAACTCATTAACAACATTTAATCATACAACCACTTGACAATAGTTCAAAATAGGCAAGATGACATTTTCAATTTTCTAGAACATCAATGCATTGTACAGTGTGATTGATACGTTCATATTTTGGTGATACAAGCAGAAGAAATAACAAACCTCACATTTCAGCAATGAAGGTCTATAAAAGTAAAATAAAGAGAGAAAAATGTAAATATGTTAATAAGCATTCAAGTGTTCAGTTCCACAAGATAAACTTTTTGAAGCTTTTAAACATTACATTACCTATAAAGGTGCAGGAGAAAGGGAGAAAAAAATAAATAAATAATAATAATGATAATAATAAACATTACTAGGATTGCATACGAGTCGAGTCGAGTCGACCCGAACTTGTTTATAAAGAATTAGTCGAGCTCGAGCAGAGCTCAAGTCGAGCTTTCAATAATCGAGCTTGAGCTCAGCTCCAACTTGCTCGATTACATAAACGACCCAAATTCGGGCCCAAGCTTGAAAAAAAAAAATTAAACTCAAAATAATTTATTTATTAAGATAAAAAATAAAAAATTATGAGCAAAATAAACAAGAATGTTTATATTAATAATAAATATCATCTATTAAATATATAAATTTACACAACATCAAACACGAATAAAATAAATAAATAAATTATTAAATATTTATTTGATATATTATTAGATTATTTTTTTTTATGTTCACGAGCCTTATCGAGCAAAGATGACACTACTCAACAATACACTTCATTCAGGATATAGGTTCAAAACAAGACACTTCATTCAACCACTTTGGAAGACTAGGAAGCACATATGTAGATGCGTTACAGGCTATGAAACACAAATACAAATACGAGTACAGATACGGATATAATACAGGTACGTGAATACGATAAAATATAAATAATAAAAAAAAGTAAGGTACAGGTACGGGTTGGACTTGGTACGTTCATAAAAAAATATTTATTTTAATTTGGAGTAATGCAGAAATTGATTAAATAATTTAATTTGTTAAGATCCAACCTACAATTAAAAGCTAATGTTAAAAGTAAAGGTATAAATTAAAATTAAATATCATTATATTAAATAATTTACAAACCATAACTTAATTTTAGAATCATGCTACGCATAAAACTAAAAATTTTAAATTTTAAAAAAAAAATCTAATGAAAGGAATTTTATCACTGTAGTAGAAGAAAATATTGTTTCGACTGAAGTACGGGTACGGCATAGGTACATACAAGGTACGTCTGAATACACCAAAAATTAAGAAGAAAATTTTTTAATATGTTTTGTGTACCCAGTACGTATGCAGAAGTACCATACGAAGTACCATATGCCGATACGAGTATAGCATGTTTGTCAAAGTATCCATGCTTCATAGGTTACGAGTACGCTGATATGACAAAACCTTAAAAACTTTAGGATATAGGTTCGGTCAAGGTCCGTCATAAAAAAACATTTTATAATTTGTAATAGTGAATGATATAAGGCAATTAAAAATCAAATGCAACAAAATAACTGAATAACGTACAAACAAAATTTAACGCCAAAAACAGTTTAAGGATCAAATCTACAAACCAAAGTTCAATGCTAAAACCAAAAGTAGGCCATGTAGCCAATTTAATGGCAAAGGGTTGATAGAAGGTAATATTCGGCATTGCATCAGCAATGACAATATTTAGAGTTGGTGATTGACAACGGTCAATTGTTGCAAATCGTGAATGGAAGAAATTTTGCGACTGCGAGAAAGAGATCGATACAGATATATGTAACGGCCAACAAAAAAAGAACTCAAGTATTTTGTATGTTTTTATAATTACAAAAATGCAACATGGTTCTAAAGTTCTTTAAAATATGCCGAACATCATTGTTCCAAAACCTTCATATTTTTTGAAAATTACATTTATGCCCCCCCCAAACAAAAGTACCCAAAACATATCCATTCCTTAACCAAGCCACACCCACCATTAAAAAAAAATTATCAGATACATATTTGGCATACCCAGTATGCGTACCCATACTTGGGAAATACCTGGTACACAGACAACAATATTTTGGAGTAATTTATAAGTGGAAGATTGCGGTTTTACAATGGGAAAAATGATAAAAGTCGATGAACCATAATCATGACCATATCAACATCAACCTCTACCACAATTATATTGAATCCTGAACTTAGCATGATTTAGTTTTATTGCAACTAGAATTTGTTATTTACGTCTAATATGTCCCTTCATCACAGTAACGGAATCAATATTCTTACAATGGAGCTTTATCAATTGCTAACAGGAGGAAAATAAAATCAACTGGATACTCAAACCCACTAGCACAGTGATCACAAAATTGCTTGTGGATCGGTTAGTTTAGTTCAAAATTACAAATGGGGAACATTTTACCCGGTATTGGCTGCTAGGTTTATTCAGAATTGTTGTATTAATGAAATTATTTCCATACTATTAGAGAACAAAACAATCGTCCAAATTGGGTTAAACGAGTCACAAATATGATAATTCAATGAATCAAGTCTAGGCCTTAAACTAGAAACAATATTTCACATTTGTTAGCCCAACCTTCTGCCATTGCACCAAGCACAACTGCCCCTAGGTTTGTATAGAATTATTGAACTAATGGAATTAATCACACATTGAATAGTATAACAAGGGCTCAGTTCGCGTTAAATGTGTCACAAATCAGTCAATTTCAAGTTTGGAAAGAATTTTACCTGGTGAGGAACTGCAAGCAACAGATGAGGGAGTAGCAGGGGAAGCACAGTCTGAGAATCTTGCAGCTCTAGGGCTTTTATCAGCCAAATTTGAGGCATGAGATTGCACCGGTTCTAAGCTCCCAAAAACATCCATTCCATGCTTGGTCGCACAATCATCAGGGTCAACTTTCTTCTTCTCGTACTTAGCCAGCCCCTCACCCCATTTAAGACGTGGCTTCTTCCTGGAACTTGCATCTTCAGATAGAGCAGCTGATGTTTCACAGGCAGCGGCATCCCCTGAAGGGGACTGTAATGGAGTCACATTTCTGATCTGTACTTCACCCTTCACTTCAATGGAATCCACTCCCATGCTCTTTGAGCTGCCTGAATGGCTGAAGCCAGAACCCCGCGATGACAAGCTCCCCGATCGAGTCCATTTCAGAGGCTTCCAATCAATTGATCGCAGCGAATTTTCCCTCTCGAGTTTCTGGCCTGTGCCCAAGCCATTAACACTACCAGTCTTATCATGCTGCTCTTTTGAGTGAAGTTGATCCCATGTGTTTACAAAGTCAGAATGAAGATGAGTGTTATGCGTTAGCTTATTATCATGAACTGACCTCTGATCATTCACATCAACCGGCCTCGCAGGACCATGACCGTTCGGAGATGAGCCATTTTCCCAAGAGTGACCTTTCCAATCCTTCTGGCTAGTCGAACCCCCTCTATATTCCCTGCTGCTATTCCTGATGTACTTCCCATCGGCACGAGACCCCCCATACGGCCGACAACTCTCATCATCCAAAATCTTCTCATTGGACCGAGACGGCGTGAACCCATGTCCAGATTCTTCCGAATAGATGTGCCAACCACCCTGCTTGCCTTGACCTTCAGCACAAAACATTAAACAAAAAAATTAGTATAATTTTTACAATTCACCAAAAAATGATTCACAAGCAAAAGCGTATTCCTCAAACAACAGTAAAAAAAATTACTTTTCCAATGAAAACCTCAGATCTAGAGGATAATCGAGAGTAATGAACACCCTACATAAATCATCATAAAAAGCCACAGATCCGCCCTGAATATAGGCACATAAATGTATTTGACAAATAGCTGGGTGAAAACCCAATTCCTTGATAAGAAACTAAGTTGAAGATTGGGGCCAAACTTGGCCCTAGTTTTGGGAGGAACAAGAGAAGTTGGAGAATTGAAAAGAGAAACTGACCTGGAGGTCTGGTGCGTACGTCGGGCGGTCCCCAGCGAGCAAAATCGCGGGAGGAGTGCGGAGTAGTATCTCTCCATCTAGACACGGACCCTACGGAATCCGAAAACCTCTCGTGCTTCCTCTCCTTGAAGAAGTCCTTCCGATCCCAAGGCAATGGCTCCGGCGGCATGAAAAACCACCACTCAATCGCATGGAGCACAAGCCCACACACACACACACACACACCAAAAACAATTCACCGATTCAACAACAACACAGCACCGAACACCACCAAAACCTAGGGCATCACAAGGCGAACAGAGTTTGAAGATTGGAGATGTCTGGGGATTACAGAGACCAGATCAAAGCTCGGTGTATGCACTGCGCAGATTAGGCTTTCGAATAATCGATTGGAGAAGAAGAAGAACGACGGCCGTCCGTTTGCTCTGATCTTCGTTTTGGGGACTTTCCTCTTTCACTCTCTTCTCTCTCTCTCTAGAATTCTCACTCTCTTTCTTTGCTGTCGATAGAGCGAGAAAGTGAGAACACGTGAGCCGATAAGGGACGAACAGAGCCCAGACTTGATGAGAGAGAGAGAGAGAGAGAGTGTGTGTGTGTATCTCAAAGGCGCTATTAAACCAGAGTTCATAATCTTCTTTCGCGTCCACTAAATAATGAATTTTTTTTTATTTTTTTTTCGCTCTGTCTGTCCGCCTTGGCCTTTCGCTTTTCGCTATTCTCGCCCCTTCTGTGTTTTTTTATTTTGCGCTTTTACTTTCGCCCTAATAGGTGTTAACCCGTAAACGCCCCTGGTTTTGCATTGTTTTTACAATCAGTGGCTTCACGCGTCGTCTCGACTTCTGGTTGTGGTTAAAATGACCAATTTGCCCTTGTCCTCCTCATTAGCTTATTCAAATTTAAAGGGTGGTTTGGGATGTCTCAAATAAGTGTACTTTTTGACTTTTTATAAAAAGATGTGTAGAAAAATAGAGAAGAGATATTGATTAATATGACTCAAAAAAGATAAAAAGATAGACTAAAATAGGTTATGCCAAACCACCCCTAAATTTCTTACTTAGGAAAAAAAATTATTCAATTTTGTTTGGTTGATTTTTCAAATTTAAATTTCTTAGTTGGGAAAAAAAAAATTATTCAATTTTGTTTGGTTGATTTCGCGATTCAGATTTCTATAAGTACGGGTTTCTGTCAGATTTTAGGATTACTTCTCCAGATCTTCTTCTTGGGTTCTAGGGTTTATATCTGGGGATATTTCGCTAGTTTTCTTTGATGTTTTGATTGAGTATTCAACTCATGGTTTAAAGAGTATACGTCAAAGGATTATTTGTTTGTTCTACACAAAAGAGAAAGTTGTTCTTCGGTGGATTCTGAAGAATTCGAGCCTGAAGCTTTGGTGAATTCCGGAATGGCTCATCGTTAAGACAATTCCAAGGTGAAGACGGGGTTGGAAGAGACACATAGAGGTTGGTTCAATTCGGGCGTGGATTCGCTAGGTAATTGAGAGTATACCTGTGTAATTCTTTTATATCTTCTTAGTAGATTGTTTTGTGGTGGCTTCACGCGTCGTCTCGACTTCTGGTTGCGGTTAAAATGACCAATTTGCCCTTGTCCTCCTCATTAGCTTATTCAAATTTAAAGGGTGGTTTGGGATGTCTCAAATAAGTGTACTTTTTGACTTTTTATAAAAAGATGTGTAGAAAAATAGAGAAGAGATATTGATTAATATGACTCAAAAAAGATAAAAAGATAGACTAAAATAGGTTATGCCAAATCACCCCTAAATTTCTTACTTGGGAAAAAAAATTATTCAATTTTGTTTGGTTGATTTTTCAAATTTAAATTTCTTAGTTGGGAAAAAAAAATTATTCAATTTTGTTTGGTTGATTTTTCTAAGGCTAAGTATGGTTTGGATTGCTGTTTTAATTTAAGAATAAATCAAGACCAAATCATTAGCTCTGCTTCTATGAAATCTAGAGTTAAACTAAACAAGGAAAATCTCATGTTAAACTAAACAAGGAAAATCTCATAACCAAATCGTAAATTATGGTTCGATTAGTTCAAAATTTCAATTTTTTAAAATTTGTGATCGTTCATAACATGATCACATAACTTAAGAATTATTTAGATAATTATTTATAACTAATTCTACCATTGTAGAAGAAAACTTACAAGAGTAAAATTGTATAACTTATGTATACATATTTTGTTAAGTTTTTATTCTTGGCAATCCCGTTTGACAAAACTCCTTTCAGTTGTACTTATTGTCGCACTTTTTTATTTCAGTGAGGCTATGAGTGTTTAGATGCGAATCCAACCCGAATTGTGCCTTGCAGAGAAGTTTGTGATGTTAATACTTTCAAGATTGCCACTTTGTTGATTATGACGGGGATCGAGCTGCCCGGTCAACTCGCGGGGGTCCAGGGGGCAGCGCCCCCGAAACAAAATGCAAAATTGCATTTAAAGTTGCATGTCCGCCCTTGCTCGCTCGAGCGAAGACTGCGTCTGGCAAAAAACCTGAAAAAAATGTATGTGCGCTCGAGCGAAGCTTGCGTGGCTCGAGCGAAGCCACTTATGGAAAACACGCGTTTTTGGTTCCTCGCTCGAGCGAGAGAGTCTTCGCTCGAACGAGTTTCGCGATTCAGATTTCTATAAGTACGGGTTTCTGTCAGATTTTAGGATTACTTCTCTAGATCTTCTTCTTGGGTTCTAGGGTTTATATCTGGGATATTTCGCTAGTTTTCTTTGATGTTTTGATTGAGTATTCAACTCATGGTTTAAAGAGTATACATCAAAGGATTATTTGTTTGTTCTACACAAAAGAGAAAGTTGTTCTTCAGTGGATTCTGAAGAATTCGAGCCTGAAGCTTTGGTGGATTCCGGAGTGGCTCATCGTTAAGACAATTCCAAGGTGAAGACGGGATTGGAAGAGGCACATAGAGGTTGGTTCAATTCGGGCGTGGATTCGCTAGGTAATTGAGAGTATACCTGTGTAATTCTTTTATATCTTCTTAGTGGATTGTTTTGTGGCTGTTGCCCGTGGTTTTTTTTATCACAATTGGAGGTGTTCAATTGTGATTTTTCCACGTAAAATCGTTGTGTCGATTTGTCTTGATTGTTTTATTGGGATTGTTATTTACTGCTTAAAATTGATATATAATCACAAATCAACATTTAGGAGATTTCTAGATTTTTCATATTTAATACTAATAAGATATTTGTGATAGATAATAAATTATATATGTATATATTTAAATGGTCTAGTTTGCTTACAAATTGAATTTGTAACTATAAAATCATAAATTAAACCGTAAAGTACAGTTCGTCAATTTCATAACTAAGATCGAACTGTTCATTGAGAAAATCAAATCAAACCACACCATGAGGTTTAATCTGGATTGAGGTTTTTTCGATTTTTCTACTTAGCCCTAGAATTTTCAAAATTAGTTTTTTGAATTTTAAATTTGTATTTTTTTTTCAATTATTTTTCATTTACAATAATAAAAAATTAAATTTTATATCAAACTACTTTTCACAAGTTTAAGGTTTTCAAATCTAGTTAAATTAGATACCATGTTGTCACATCCGGAATTGTCAAAATCCAAACCTAACTAACATATTCGAATTAAATGTAAAAATAAAAATAAATAAAATAAAATATTCTCTCTCATATGATATATCATTCAATACATGAGTTTTGTTCATTTCATACATATTATATTCAGTGAATATGCAATATGTAAATATAAATAATAATAAAAATGAGAACATACAATTATAAAGGAAATGTCATTAGGCTTAGATCAAGCAAAAAGGGTTTAACCCTTGCAAAATAAAAACAATCGGCCAAATAAATAAAAAGGCCCTAGGCCAACAATTCAAGTGAACTCTATCTAGTCCTTGCCCATGCCCACTGTCGTGGCAAGTCTTCAACACTTGATGAACAATTTTTTTAATAGTTTTGATGCTCGAACTATATTAACAATTTTGGTGCCGAACTTCAAATAGACATAATTTCTTCATCCGAATTTCATATTGGATAGTTCTTATGTCTAAATCGAAGCCTTGGAAGTAAGTTTTTCAATAATTCTAGCCTTACATCAAGATTCGAAGTGTGGAGAGAGCAAAGAGCAAAAAATTGAAAATATTCAAAAACAAATATCCAAATTTAAAATTTTTGGTCACATTTTACCCAACTATCATATTAACAAAGTAATCAACTCTAAACATTTAGGATGAGATCCCAATTATAATAACTTAAAGGTTAAATACAAACCTATCATTTTCAAGAGTCCAAAAACAATACAAGTATAAAGTAAAAGGTATCAATTAACATACACAAGTCGGGTTCAAAATCCAAAACGCTGCAGTATTAACTTTTTTTCCTTATTATTATTGTCTTCATATGTTCGAGATTATGTTTGTAGCATAAATTTTAACTAATTTAATATTATTTATTTCAATTTGATCAAATTCTTTAACAATTGAATATCAATGGATAGTATAAATTTAGAATTTTGATAACTCTTTAAGCTTTCAAAATATATAAAGCGCAACTGCTTTTGTATTGATTTGGAGTAAAATTTTGTTATTGTTCCTTAACCTTATGAGGTTTGTTAAGAAGATTCTAAATAATGCACTATGCATGGGTCGATTTGGTTTAGGTTGATACTAAGGCTTCATTTGAGAACAGGGTTTTTTTAGTAACTTTTTGGCTTTTTGGCTAAAATATGATGTAAAAATAACTAGTATGTTTGGGATGACTTTTTGATTTTTTACGAAAATATGTGCAAAAAATAGTGAGAAAGGAGAATCTTTGACTTTTTGGTATAAGTTTTGGATTTTTGATTTTTTTAGTGACTTTTTGGCTAAAAAAGTTACTTCCGAGGCCTAAATGTTAAACCAACTCAATGATGATCAGTTTCAAATTTTTGAACTCAAGACTGAACCAATGTTACGATTATAAGAAAATTAAAATTTATTTACTTACTGTGATGCCCCAATTTTTACTCTAAGGGTTAGGGTAACGTCGCTAAAGAGTCTTTTGGTCAATAGCCAAGCAAGATCCCAGGAAGGTCAGAAGAGTCAATAGAGTCTCCCTTCTAAGTCCAACCACCTTAGATAGCAAGCTATCTTTTTGACAGATCTTAGGAGGTATTAACACAAGGTCTCATAAGTAACACGGAGATAGACATAAAATTACAAAAGTAAATAATAATTACAATGTTTCAAATCTTAAATGACAAAATGAGTTCCATTACTATTACAATCCAAAAAAATAAAAAATAAAAGCACGAATAGACTCATAAGCAAACTAACTTCTAACTTTCTCTAAAAAAGGCACAAGCCTTCAAATGTCGCTGCCTCTTCGTCGACCTCGTATGTTTCTTCGATACCTGGCATGAAACGCCATGAGTTTTGAATGCTCAGTAAATGCACACACATCCGTTCCTTTTTCCTAATCTAATACACAATAGTAAGTACAACAATAGGGGAAAGAAACATGATATTCAAATAAATAACAAGGGTTACAAGGTTACTTGTTAGTAGTCTAAAAATCTACCAAAGAGATTTCGGCCTCCCAACCACAAGAATCAGACGCGGATTAT